AAAAAAAAAAAAAAAAAGAAGATTTATTTTTTTATTAGTAGGAGGTAGGAAATATTAAATATTATATAAAGAAGGCCAGGCATGATGGCTCATACCTGTAATCCCAGCACTTTGGAAGACTAAGGCAGGCAGGAGTTCAAGATCACCCTGGGCACCATGGAAACCCCTGTCTCGGCTGGGTGCCTGTGGCTCAAGCGGCTCAGGCATCAGCCATATACATCTAAGGTGGTGGGTTCGAAGCCAGCCCGGCCCGCCAAACAACAATGATGGCTGCAACTAAAAAATAGCCGGGCGTTGTGGCAGGCTCCTGTAGTCCCAGCTACTTGGGAGGCAGAGGCAGGAGACTCACTTGAGGAGTTGGAGGTTGCTATGAGCTATGATGCCAAGGCACTCTACCCAAGGTGACAGCTTGAGGCTCTGCCTCAAAAAAAAAAAAAAAAAAAGAGAAAAAAAAGAAACCCCTGTCTCTACAAAAAATAATTAGCCCGGCATGGTAGTAGCGAACACCTCCTACAAGAGCAGGCTAGGGTGAAAAGGGAAGAAGGAACTGGCTGATTTGGGGCTGGAGAAAATGGTACTTACAAGAGGTAACAGCAGACAGCAGTAGCTACCAGCATGGTGATGATCACTCTGCAACAGAAGAGGACACAGGTCAGGGCAGGTGGAACCAGCACCCTCAGAAGGCCTGGCCAGGGCCAGAGAAAAGGCGCCTGGTGTCAGTTCTTTTCCCACTGGCTTTTCTTATGCTACCTGGACACAGGAGGCTGAGGTCTACTCAGAGTAAGAACAGCAGGATGGAAAATAAAAACTTAAAATGTCACTTTTATGGTGAGGTCAACCTTGACCACATCCAAGTTATGTTACAAATTCTTCCTTCTCTAACCCCCAATATTTCTCCATCCTAATGCAGACATGTTGGGAACAGAAACTGCACGCAGCTGCATTTCTGGCAGCCCACCAGGGAGCGGTTTGTGGAATTCAAACTTCATTGGGCAAGGGGAAAGAAAACAATACACCAGAATACTGGGAAAGAAGCAAGGAGACAGTAAGCCATTTCTCAGGCTGAGTGAGTTGTTATAAAAAGAGCAGGCATTACCTACTTTGCGTCTAAAGAAGACTGGAGACAGAAGCTTAACATGTAGCAGGAGACTTTAGTAGGACTGAAGAAAGAATTCACCAAAATTTGCAGGAGAGGTGAACCACTAAAATGGTTTTCAAACTGAGCTGTGGGACTCTGAGCCCTGCCTATTTTTTTTTTTTTTAATTTTAGACAGAGCCTCAAGCTGTCCCCCTGGGTAGAGTGCCATGGCATCACAGCTCACAGCAACCTCCAACTCCTGGGCTCAAGTGAGTCTCCTGCCTCAGCCTCCCAAGTAGCTGGGACTACAGGCGCCCGCCACAACACCTGGCCATTTTTTGGTTGCAGCCATCATTGTTGTTTGGCAGGCCCGGGCTGGGGATTCGAACCCGCCACCTTAGGTGTATGTGGCTAGCGCCTTAGCTGCTTGAGCCACAGGCGCTCAGCCAGCCCTGCCTATTTTTAAGACCAAAGGCAACATCCATATATCCATCCAAGCAGCCTCCAGGCAAAGCCAAACCTACTCCAAACCAGAGCCTCTGACCTTTCATCTAAAGCATTTCGAGTTGGTGCTGGAGAAAGAAGCACTTGATCCCTCTTTCAACATTATTACTAAGCGGTTTAGACCAGTCTTGGCTGCGCACTGGGTAGACTGTGGAGAATAGAACAATCTCGGACCTTGAAGAACTTGTAGTCAAGAGAGTCTTTACACCTGAAGAGAACATGAGCAGAAACTAGTGATCAGTGCTGATATCTGTAGGGGATCTTCCCAAAACACTACCAGCTAAAACTACCCTTATATACAAAGCACCATGCCTTGGTGAGCTTCTTACATGCACTACTTTGGGTAATCCTCGCAGCAGCCTTCTAAGGCAGGGTCGTCATCACCCCCATTTTACCTAAGAACTTGAGGCGTGACATATGCTCCAGGAACACACCTGTAGAGGGCTGCATTAGTTCCTGTCCGTGCCCTTTATTGGCTGCAGGACAGATGACACTTAACCATCTATAATGTCACTCTGCCCTTCACCCCAGCCTCCGGCCTGTTACCTAGCTGAACTGGCCTGAGTGCAGAGACGTCAGAGCAGGCGTCTGGGAGCCTGGTGTTCCTGGTGCGGGCCCTCGCGGCAGGGTAGCAAGCCGCCGCTCCGGATGGAGGGACGCGGGGACCGGGGGTCGGCAGGGCCTGCGCAGTTTCCTTACCCGCGGTTGGGTCCCTTCGGCACAAACCAGGGCCCGGCGATGCCGATGAGGCCCCAGAAAGTGGTGAAGATGATGACTGGGAGGGCGAACGAGTGCGCCGTCATGGCCGGGCGCGGGATGCCGGGACTGGATGCAGGGCAGAGCGACACAAGCTCTTGGAGCGCGCGGGTCCACAGCCCGGTAGGGAACGCCGAGCATGCGCAACAGGACGCACACCGCGGAGGCGCTCGCCCGGACCGATCTGCGCACGCGCATCTCCTAATCTGATCCACCGAGCTGCCACTCTAGAGACCCTGAGAAGGCAGATACCCTGCCGCCTGGGCATCAATCTGTAGCCAGCCCACTGGAACTTTGGGATTAGATCCCTGACTCCCTGCGTAAGTAGGTGCAGTTTATAAAATGTGGATGGCAATTCTTACAAGGTTGCTGGAGGATTAATTGAAATAATAAGCACGCAGAAAGTACCTAAGGTAGTAAGACTAGTTTCTTCCATCAGGGCTGGAAGAGACCTCAGAACCTGGTTTTCTCTTTGAACTTTTTTTTTTTTTTTTTTAAGTAGGTCTCACTCCATCACCCAGGATGGAGTGCAGTGGTACAATCATCACACCTCACTGCTGCCTCACAAGCCATCTCCTGCCTCAGCCTCCTGAATAGCTGGCACTACAGGCCCGTGCCACCACACCTGGTTAATTTTTTCAAACAAGTTTTTATAGAGATGAGGGTCTCACTAGGTTGTCCACGGCTGGTCTTAAACCCCTAACTTCACGCATGGCTGGTCTCGGATCCCTAGTCTCAAGTGATCCTCCCAGTCAGCTCCCCAAAATGCTGGGATTACAGGCATGAACCACCATGACTTTGGGGCCTTTTGATCTCACATATCCCTCTGTGGAGATTAACAATCTCTATCTTCTGTAGAATTCCCTTCTTCTAGGGATCAGTGGCTCCACAGGGCATCTCTAGCAGCAGGTGCTGCCCCATGAAGCCCGCCACATACTCACACGTTGTCAGTCAATGGTTTCATGACTTGAGAGTTGGTGTAATCTTTGTAATGCAGAAGGTTAATGTACCAGTTCTTGCACTGACCCCTGCAATGATGGGTACTCATAGCTGTTTGCCCCAAGCAGGAACTGGTCACACCTGCCCTTCTCTGCTCTCCAGTTAAGACCTCTTTATTCATCTTTTCAATATTCATGCATGGAGGAGGGTAGGTAACTTACAAATATTTTAGGCATACAGTGCCATCTTCCATTATTTTAGCACTCAGGCAAGTTGGAGGTCAGTGATACACAAAGATGTTAGTTATGAAATACCATCTTAGTTTTCTAGGGATTGTTAAATTAGGTGAGAAGTGATGCATTCTTGTAAAACTATAATGCTGGCCAAACTGGCCTAAGAGCCCTGTGATCAGAATAGTCCATGCCCATTATAAGCATGCAAAGGATAGAGAAATCAAAGAAGGCTTCCTTGAGGAGGTGAGATTTTGGCTGGATTGGTTAGGATTCTCATCAAGAGTGTGCACTGCTAAGAACAGTGACTCAGGGTAAGGGTGCACTTAGCATCCATGACACAGTATAAAGCAGCATGGTCCTTACAATCTTTCAGAAAATCACCACTAAAGTTCATCTCCCTCTGTAGCTCCAAAAAACCCCCTACTTTCCTGAATTTTAAGAAAAAATATTCTCTGTATAAAATGCCAACTATAATGTGAAACAGATTCTGTTTCTCTGCCCCAGCTAAGGCTAGAACCAAAGGCAGTGCTTGCTTTAAACAACCAGCTCATTTTGGATGCTTGTAGCTTCCATTCTCTTTTCCTTTAATGGTCTTTGATGTTTCCTTTCTGTCCTAAGTTGCAATTGATTGCTATAGTCATCTATTTGGCACCTTTGTAACAGTCTGAAGTCCATAAAGGAATCAAAGCCATAAACTGGCTCCTACTTCAACTGCTGAAGCCTCTTTGGGACCCACAAGCTCCAGCTGTTCTTTGGATTTGTGCCTTAGGGAGCTCTGTAGAGTGATGGGTCTGATGCAAAAGCTTTTACTACTGGTAGAAATCTATGTTTTTTTCCTTGAAAATATGGCTTTTTTATTCCCAGTAAACCGAAAGAGATAATGTCAAGTAAAAGCATTTTGTAAACTATAAAGTGCTAAATAAATGTAAGGGCTAGGCACAGTGGCTTATGACTCCCAGCATTTTGGGAGGCCAAGAAGAGAGGATTTGCTTGAGGCCAGGAGTTTGAGGCAACATAGAGAGATGGCCCATCTCTACAAAAAATTTAAAAAATTAGCTGAGCATGATGGCACACACCTATAGTCCTAGCTATGCAGGAAGCTGACTCAGGGGGATTGCTTGAGCCCAGGAGTTCAAGATTACACTGAGCTATGGTCATGCTACTACCCTCTAGCCTAGGCAAGAATGAACCTGTCTCATACACACACAGAAAGACAGCCAAGTACTTAATTATAACTCTCACTAAATGATCTTAACCTTCTCCTAACTTTCACTGGCAAAACAAATTTAGCTCACTTTCAAGAATCATAGGACTGTGTTGACCAGTTGATGGAAGTATTTCAGATTGCATGTGAAAACCCCACACTGTACCCTAGAAGTGCATTAATGTACATAGTTACCGTTCAATAAAAAAAAAAAAAAAAAAAAAAAAAAGAATCATAGGAGAAACCAAAAGCCAAAAATAAAGGTGAACACACACTTCCTCCACCCAGCACCATTCTTAGCCTTGTCTCCTCTTGAAAGAGGCAAGATCTAGTTAGCTTTGATCAGCTCCAGTCTCCTGGGTCTTGCTTATGGACGTACAGGACAGACACGTGTGTTGAAATAAACTCTGCTTTATTCAGATAGCAAAAGGTTAGGAATTAAACACGGTTTCTTAAACCTCATTTGCACATCTTTGAAACCAGAGGAGAGGATATCCCTGGGCCAGTTACCTTAGTGTTTTTTGCTAAGCAGACACCTGTATGAGGGAACTGCCCCCCTCACTGCCCTGATAAGTACTTAGCACCCTAGGAACTCATCCTTTGCAGGAGAGAGAAGCAAAGGTCTGGAGCATGGTCACACTTCTAAGGTAACTGGCCAGGAAGGCAGCTGAGATTCTCCACTCCTACCCAGTCTCTATGGCTATTGCTGGAATAAAACTATCAGTTATATGCTGGTTACTCGGAATGTCAGACCCAATGGGGATCAGTCATCAGGGAAATGGCAGGAGCAATGCTAGGATGTGAACACAGATGCCAGCAGGACTACAGGTGCTGGGTGGAAGGGGGACAGTGGCCAAGAAGGGGTGGCAGGGGCACAATGGCCGGGACTCTGGCCAAGAGAGTGTGCTTGCTCCTTCTATTCCTGGTACCCTGCGATTTGTCTTCCTGTGGGGCAAAACAGGAAGCCTCCCCAACAAGGGGACTCCTGGCCTGTGGTATAAATCACAGCCAGCCTCCCAACAAAGCAGGGGCCAGCCTGGGCAACGGTAAGGATGCTCACCATGCTGCCACTCTGGGGTCCTGAACAAAATCATCAGTTGTCTTCCTTCTTTGTCTTTAGCTGACAAGGGGGAACCAGAACAGCCTGTGCCCCTCAAGAAACTGGGTAGTGCAAACACCTATAATAAATAACATTTCAGTCACTCTGCTCTAAGGGGACCCCCTTTCCCACAACCTAAGGAAGGCCTGGGATGGGTCCTCAGAACATGCTGACGTGGAGAGGGGAGGGCATCTCCCCTGGCTCCCACCTCAGCTCCAGAACTGCTCCTGTACAGAGCAACAGGGCTGCTTATAGCACTGGCCCCTGCTCTGATGGGATATTGGAGGAAGAAGAGGCCACACCAAGGGAAGGGTGCTTGCTAGAACCTTACCTCAACTGGGAATCCTTCTGAGAGGAGGGTTACAGACCTCACTTTAAAAGGCCTTTCTCTCTCCCATTCTAGGGGACACCTAACCTGGGGCAAATTCCCAAGCACCCATGGAGGCTATGAACGGGAGGCCTATGACCATTATGGCTATGTGAATAGTGGCACCTCCCAGAGCTGCAGTTGCAGTCTGGGGCCTTGGGGCCTTTGGACCCCTCCAGCTGGGAGACATTTCCACAAGTGAAAGGTGAGAAGAGATAAAGGAATTTCTGACTAGAGCTGAGAAAGACAAGAGGGCAGTGGCACTAAGGCTAAGTGCTAAGGGTGAGGGGAAAGGAAGGGGATGCTGGGAAACGGCATCTGTAATAATGGGGAAGGGCTTGCAGCACCTTTTGGGAATGGGAAGAAGAAAACTGCTGGTTAAGGGGCCTGATTGCATGGCCTTGCAGCATAGAGCAGGGCCCCACCTGGAGACCAGCAGCCAGCCAGGCAGGGATGGCATGCTCCTTGCTGCCTTTTTAAAACAAGCATGGGGCAGGGGCAGAGAAGCCCTTTCCTCTCAGATCCCTCATTTCCCACCCATGCTTAAGGGCAGCACAACCTAGACAAAGTCATCCCCATCCCAGGAAGCAGCCTCCTGAGCCTGCCAAGACAAAGCTAGAAGGAAAAGTGCTTCACTTTAGGCTGGATGGGAAGAGGGGACGATGGGGATTGGGGGTCTAGTAGTGCCAGGCGCCTCCCATGCCCTGGGCAGTGAATAGTTAAGCTGGAGCGTGCCCATACCTTCTGGGGGAGCTAAGACCCCAGTCACTGAGCCCAGTTCAGGAATCTGACTTGGCTCATCTGGGTGGAGTCCCAGTGATTCCATGTAGAGGTCCCAGAGCCATTTTAGGAGTGGTCTAGACTGTCATGTAGATGATACACCTGGAGGGTACCCCATCTCACAGTAAGGGCTTTGGGGACAAATTCATACCTGTCCCACTAAGGACGAGGACAGGGGCTGAAGGCAGCTAAGTCCACACTGTGCAGGCCGAGGTCTTTCTTTCAAGGAGCTCAAGGATCTCTCACTCACTAACCCTATGGCAGGGAGGCAGCAAACACGTGGATTCTCTGCTGCCACTCCATGAAGAGAGAAACTGAGGCACAGAAAAGAAGATGGCATTAATCACAGTTAAACCACTGGGTGCAGCAGAGCTGGGGCTGCATCCCAAGCTTCCTAGCTCCAACATGGGCCTGCCTGCTCCTGAGGAACATGGGCTTGTGGGCTGTGGGTCAGACAATGCTCCAGTGTGCGAGGTGCTGGGCTCGGTGTCACAGAGGGCACTGGCTGTGCTGTCTGGGAGCTGTGGGAAGAGAATCTCTCCTGGGTGCTCTGTGCAAAAGTTTTATGTTTGTTTCATTCTGAAGAAAGCCCTGGGAGGAGGCAGAGGAACTCCCTGATAGAAGCTCCCCACCTGAGCCATGAGAACCAGGGTGAGAGACCCCAGAATAATGACTCTTGGGAACTCTTGCAACCAAGAGTCCCTAGACTCTTCCCTAGAACGGGGTCATCTTCTATCCTAAGAAAGGGGTCTTTCCCCCTTGCCACTTAGATTATGGGCAGCCTCTCTGGAATGTTCCTCAGGGATGCCGAGAAGTTTGGGTGCTGCTTTAAGCCCCTATCCCAGTATCTCCCACTTCAGAAAAGTCTTCTTGCTACTAGAATGGGGATGAAATCTTTCATGATGGGATTATTTCCTGGAGCACCTTAAAAAAATAGCCGGGCATTGTGGCAGGCACCTGTAGTCCCAGCTCCTTGGAAGGCTGAGGCAAGAGACTTACTTGAGCGCAAGAGTTTGAGGTTGCTGTGAGCTGTGACGCCACAGCACTCTACCAATAACAACATAGTGAGACTCTGTCTCAAAAAAAAAAAAAAATGAACTTGTGCTAAGAACCTTTTTAGCACACAATGTGCTGTGAGGCACCACTGTGCTTGCAGGGCCTCCTGGCTCCCTTGCCTCTCTGGCATACAGCCTTCTGCTACCTTGTCACTGCCCACTTCCTAGTGCTTAAAAAGTGTCCCCCCCCAAAGAAAGACTCTAGGGAAGCCTAGCCTCTTCAGAGAGCCTGTCTCCATGATTGCAGAGGCATCTCCAAGGCAATGCCAAGGATTCCACTCCCTCAGAACATGCCAGGGCCCCCCTGGCTGGTGCTGGGGTATAGCCCAGAAGGCTCTGTGATGTAGTCCTCCCGAACTTCCACTGCCTCCCTGGGGGGCAGAATGAGTGGCTCCTGGGTCCCAGACCCCCCAACACAGAGGGCACCCGGCTCCTTTCTGAGCTCCACACCTGTGCGAGAGAGAAAGGAGAACAGCAATTAGATTGGTCACACGATGGTCCCCTGCCCACTCCAGCTTTGTCCCAAGGCTGTTCAGTGAAGAGAACATGGCAGAACAGACCAGAGATAGGACTGGGACTTCTCTTCAGCCCTCACTTGTCCTCACTCTGCTATTCCATTACCCCAAGACAGCAGATCCCAACCAGGGGTAATTTTTCCTTCAGTGACCATACTTCTGCTTCAGGAGCAATGTCTGAAGATGGTTCTGACTGTCACAAAGGCGGTGGGAGGTGCTACTGGTATCCAGTGGTTACGGCAAGGGTAGAGGCCCAGGATGCTGCTGAAGTTCCTACAATGCATAGGAGGCCCCTACCAAGAAACACCCAGCCCCAGCTTAACAGTACTGAGGCTGAGAGCTCCTGCCTAGGAAGGGGGTATGTTACCACATAAACTGTCTGTATAAGACCTTCTGTCCCTATGGAAATAACATCCTGGACAAGGGTATAGCTGCCACCATATTCCTCTCCCTCCAGGGCTGGACTCTGAGAACAAGGCACTTAACAGGCAGCTAAGGTGATGGAGTCACCACACCCTCCCTCTTGGCTCTCCCTGCCTCTTTTCTTCACCTAACCACCCTGCTATGGCTCCAGTGTCACCTTGCTTCCTATGAAACCTGTCAGCCCTAAAACGCAGACCCACTGCTGATGACAGGAGAAAAAAAATGGATATGGAAGCAGGCAGAAGGACACCAGCCAGAAGAAGATGCCAAAAGAGAAAAACTGCTGCTCTGCCCCGTCACATGAATAAGAAAAGCCTGGTGAACCCAATGACTGGCATGTTCTCTTTGGTTTCCAGGAACTGTTTGCAGAGAGAAACTTCTTATTTCTGGCAACTTGTCGTCCCTTCTAATGTTACTTCCCCTCAAGGGAGTCCTGATCCAAGCCCTCCTGGCTGGCTAGTGTGGCTGTTTCTGCTGTGGCTTGACCATCCCCGCTACACATACACACAAGGCTGACCCCTGCACAGCCACTCTGACCTGAGCTGACCTCTTTTCTCCTGAAAATCCCTGCATGGTCCAGAGTCCACACAGCCACACTTAGAATATGATGCTGCTGCCGGCCTGGCTGGCCTTCTGCTAGTTATTGCCAGTAGTGGTCTTAACCTTTAACTAGTGCCATTTGTTCCTCTTGCCAGACTCTGTTCTGAGTGCTTTGCATATATTAATTCACTGACAGATGAAAAACCAAAGCACAAAAAGGCTGACTTGTCCAAGGGCACACAACTAGTTAGGGGACAGAGCCAGCATTGAACCTGAGCAGACAAGCTCCAGAAGTCTTCGCACTGTACCCTGCTGCCTTGGGCTTGTGTGGTCTCTTTAGCTGGGTCACAGGAGCCTGGAGGCAGGTATCAAGGCACAGTGGTCTAGCAAATGGCTACACAACCTCCAGGAATGCCTGCAGACTATTGCTGGCCAACATGGTGAGAACTCTGGCTCAGCACAGGACTGGGAAGATTGGATTAGCTTGCTTTGTTTTCCCACATCCAGGGAATTTACTCTCTGCTGCTTGTACTTACTCTCATGGGAGCGGGCTGGCACCTGGGCACAGGAGTAGACGTGGCTGAAACGTCGGCCTGAGGAGGTCAGGTACCAGTGCTGGATGGCAGGCTGGGGGTCGTACTCTGTTACTGCCACGCCATTCACAGCTGTCATCATGAGCATGTTGAGCACCTCATTGGAGAGCTTGGTCCTCTCATCAGTCCTGATTCGGTTCATGGCCTTCAAGCCTCGCTCACAGCAGGAGGTGGAAACAGGCACACAGACCACCACAGCCATGAGCTTGCTCAGCAAGGGGAAGCGGTAGTGCTGGGCTAGGGCGTTTTTACACAGCATGGAGAACGGGAGGTTCTGGGAGATGGATTTCAGGCCCAGCCACTCCTCCAACAGAGCTTCCTCACTGTATCCTGCAGGGAGAGAGAGCTTGAAATACCTAGCAAGGCTAAGAATATCATCATTCCCAAAAGCGGCAAGTTCAATCCCATTTGGCCAGGCTACAGTATCAAACACCTCCATGTTCTTGAGCTGCGGCGGACGGTCTGCATCAAACCTCTGCTGGAGGTATTCAATCCCGGTGAGCACCACTCTCTCCCTGTCTGCTTGGAACCGCTGTTCTGCCATCTCTACCCTGTCCAAGAAGATGCCATGGAGCCAGCCATCCTTGAAGCTGGCATTGAACTCTTCCTCTTTGGGCCCTGCCTGGTGACGGAGGGTCTCCAGCGCTATGTAGGCCCGGCCCAGCGTGGCGTTCACCTCTGTGACCAGCACGATCTCCTTCTGGCACACCTCAGACAGAGGTCTGTAAATGCTCAGGAAGTCCAGCAGGAAGTGGCAGGATTTGATAAAGTGGAAGCCCTTCATCAGCTTTAGCATGCCCTTGGCCCTCTGCCCAACCTGGCCCCCAGCCTCCGCCACACTCTGGAGGTGCCGAGTGAGGGCAGGCCAGCTCACGAGGAGAGCGTTCAGCGTGCGCCTTTTACTGGCCACCCACCTGACGGCGTTCAAGTCCTTCAGGCGGAGGACCTCCTGCTCCAGGGGAGCTGCACCTTCCTGCAGCTCACTCAGCCTCTTGTTTGAGGACTGATAAAATTTGAATACAGTACGAATATGCCGGTCACACTTCCGCACGAGATCGATGCTCCCACATGCTTCCACCACAGCCAGGTGCAGCTGGTGTGCCACACAGTGCACAAGCAGCAGCTGGGGGATGACCTCCTGGAACTTGTCCACAAGGCCTCCTCTGCAGCTCAGCATGGCTGAGCCATCTGTTCCCAGGCCCACTACCCAGCCAGGCTTCCGGAAAGGGATGTCCAGCTCATCCAGGACAGAAACAATGGTCTCAAAGTATCCATCTGCTGTCTCACTATAGAGGGGGGCCAGGGTGATATACGACTCCTTCACCTCCATCTGCTTCAAGTAGCGGATATAAATCCCTATGCAGGCCTGGTCAGAGGTGTCGGTGGAGCTGTCCAGCAACAAGCTCACGCAGGGGGAGCTCCGGACATCATCGAGGATCTGTTTCTTCAGGGTCTCCGAGATGTATTTGATGAACTGAGTGCATGCGGTGCGGTTTCGGTACTTGCCTAAAATCACGGTCCCAGTGCTTTGGAGGAGCTGCAGGATTTTCTCAAAGTCATTCAGGGGCCTTGAGTGGTATGCGATGGAGTAGGCAGCATTGAAGAAGTGTTCCATGTTTGCCATGAGGTCGCTGGAGATCTCTGGAATGAGGGCAGTCTGGGGGGTGTCTTCTTTGATTTCAATGGTGTTGACACAGAGCCTGTGTGCTTTGCTGACTTCATGGTATTTTAAAGTCTCCACTTTGAAAGGCCCAGTGTAACCTTTGACTAACCGAGATGATTTGTCATGGAGATTGGGTCTTTCTTTGCAAACTGAGCAAAAGAGCTTGGTCTCTTTGGGATCAATTACTAACCACGGGAACTGCCCAAACCATGACCTCTGAATGGAACGGGGTCTATAAGTCCTCTTGGTTTTCCTGGGCCCATCCACTTCTACTTCACACATGCTGGAGCTGCAGTAGGAGGTACCCGGCTCCACAGAAGGAGCTGGAAGTGGTGCAGAGTCCACAGCCACGGCCTGTGTGTCTACCTCTCTCACAGCCACCATCTTCTTTTTCCCTTTGGAGAAAATTAAATCATGCTTGGTTCTGCTGCCTAGAACTCTGCAGTCTTCTATCAGCTAAGATATCCCCAATTCACTTAGCACTTATGCAAAGCATAAGGATCCACCTTTCCAGAGACCACTAGTGGCTTCTATTTAAGTCCCTCCCCATTCTCTTCAGTGAAAGTCAGGCTGGTTCCCAGGAGTTACTGCTAATCCTGTGGGTCCTTATGCAGCCTCATGTTCTCTGGCCACATGACTACCCTGGGATTGTGTGACACCAGATACACAACAGGTACGGGATGAGTGATTCACCTGCACCCTGCACATGCCCTCAGAACTTAGTAGGTCTGGACTTACCTGGAGGATGACCTTCTCCCCACTTGGGCCCATTTGGATCTTTTATCCAGGGTGCAGCTCTCCGTTCCAGTTTGGAGATCAAGTCTGGTTTGGCAGCTGCAGGCCCTGTCACAGGATGAAGAGTTGCGCTGAGATCACTGCTACACAGAGTCAAGCAGCCCACCCTGACCTGACCTGGCCCCTGAAATGTGCAGGAGGCTGCTAGGTTCTGTCCTTGCTAAAGTCTAGTTAGCCACGGGCAGGCTGAAAGCACACCCCAGAAGAGGGCAGAATAGGAGGCCAGGTGGGGATATGCCCCAGCCAGGGTAGACGGCTGCCTCCACCCTGAGGATCAGCCCTGGGGGCCACAAGCCAGCAAAATGCATCCACGGGTAGTGAAGTGTTGAAACAGGAAGAAACACAGAGGATAAAGCAGAAAGAAAAGGAAGGCAGGGATGAAAACAAAAGCCACACGGGGAGTGGAAGATGCCACCCATGGGTGGCCTCCTCCGTGAACCCATGGCAGGCAGCCAACTATACAGGTTACCTAATGGGGCACTCGCAAGGCCCCCTGAAAATATCTACCATTTGCAATGGAACCTGAACTCTGATGAGAAAAAAAATGCTGTCTTTGGATTAAGCACTACCCTTTACTTAATATGTTCACATTGTCCAGAAGTATGCAAAGAAATCACTTCCCTGATTTAGGATACAATCCATCCATCACTATCTACGTACACGCTTTTGTGTGTGTCTATGTGAATGTGTGTGCTTCTGAGAAGGAATTGAAGGACAAAGTAAAAGGGAGATTATTTTTCACTATTCATCTTTTGGTTCACTTAAACATATTTATATTTGATACATATGTATACATGTGTATCTACAAACTTACTCTCTATAAATAAGTAAATTACTGAAATGTGGTAGATTCAACACACATCCTTCTTAAATAAAAAATCAATAAACATCTCTAAAGCGAGAGCAAAGGAATAATAATAATAAAAAGAAGCACAAACCCAAGAGAAATACTGGACTACAAATGCTAATGATACATTTTTGGAAGGAAATGAATTAAAAGAGAAGCACCAACAGGACTCTACACCGAATGCCTGCAGAGAGGATCATGGAGAAGCAAGGTGGTTGTACTGCAGAGTCCCAGAAAGATTCAGAAACTGGAGGTAGCAAGTGTGGGAGCAGGTGGAGGGTGAGGAATGGGAGGGAGCAGAGGGCTCAGTGTCTGCACAGAGAGCTGCTTGAGCCCAGTTCCTCTTGGTTAATCCAGGAAACCAGGAAGCACCACCACCTCACTCAGGAGAACAGAGACTGAGTCTACAGAAACACTTACTAGGAAGGTTCTGAGACGGGGTGCTGGCTAGAGTGGAAGATGAAGTAAAGTGTGGTGTGTAAAGAATGAGGGGTACACCACTAGGTTCCCAGGGCACTGCTGGGCTTATTATACCCTCTAAGCAGGAGATGGGAAGAATATTCTTTGGAGAAATAGAGTTGCCCCTTCCTCTCCCCTCAAAAGACCTACAAGATACTGACTTTTGTAGGCTCTTCTAAGGAGACAAGATTTGCTGCTGATCACCCAACAATAACTGACTCAGTTATTATTGTAACTCAGCTATGCACAGAGCTTCCAGTTGGTTTTTTAAAGAGTTATTCTTACAGACAAACGAACTTAGAGATAATTATTTAAGAAAAGCCTCTGATATGAAAGAGGGAGACCAAAACAAGTAAGAAAAAGGATTAAAGGAGCTAGAGATATTGCAGGGAGCAAGATAAAACTTCAAAACAATAAGAATTATCATAACCAGAGAGAGCCAGGCATGGTGGCTCACACCTATAATCCCAGCACTCTGGGAGGCTGAAGTGAGAGGATTACTTGAGATCAGGAGTTTGAGACCAGCCTGAGCAAGAGTGAGACCCCCATCTCTATTAAAATAGAAAAAATTAGCCAGGTATGGTGGCCGCTGCCTGTAGTCCTACCTACTTGAGAGGCTGAAGCAGGATTACCTAACCCCAGAAGTCTGAGGTTGCAGTGAGCTATGACAATGCCACTGCACTCTAGCTTGGGTGACAGAATGAGACCATGTTCCAAAAAAATAAATAAATAAATAAAAAGTTAAAAAAAAATAAAACCAGAGAGAAAAATTATGACAGCCACCTAAGAAAGGAGTAATAAGAGTGCTTAGAAACTAAAAACCCAATATAGCATTGTTAGAAAATAAAACTGAGGAAATCTCCAAGAGAATAGTATAAAAAAAAAAGAAGCAAAAAATAGAAGAAAAAGAAAGAAAGAAAAAGAAAACTAGGGGCTCTAGCCAGGAAGTCCAACATTTAACTAACAGTAATTTGTGGAAAGAAATGAGAAAATGTATAGGATGACTATAGAGGAAATAATACAAGCACATTTCCCCAAACTTGAAAAATGTGTTTCCACATGGAAGGGAAGCACCAAATACCCAGAACAAAAGATGTAAAAACACTCTTATCAAGGCATATCATTAAAAATTTGAGAACACTGGAATTGATTTTAAATGCTTTTGGAGTGGCCAGCCTGAGCAAGAAGTGAGACCCCATCTCTACAAAAAATAAAAAGATCATTGGGGTATAGTGCCTTAAAAATAAAAGATTATTGGGGTACAATGCCTATTGCACACGCCTGTAGTCCCAACTACTCAGCAGGCTGAGGCAGGAGGATCACTTGAGGCCAGGAGTTAGATGTTGCTGTAAGCTATGAACAGCATGGCACTCTAGCTCAGAGTGACAAAATGAGATAGATCGCAAACAAAACAAAACAAAAAACAAACATAAAAAGCTTTTGTAGTATAAAAAATAAATCACAGTCACAGATTCAGGCACAAAAAGGCATTACACTTCTCAACAACATCAGAAAACCAAAAGAGCAATGCTTTCAAACTTTTAAAGAAAATTATTTCCAACCTAGAATTCTTTGCCCAACCAAGTCATTCATCAATTATGAAGGTATATTTTCAGATATGCTGAGTATGTACCCTTTCTTATGAAACTACTAAAAGATGTGGCCCAACAAAATGAAGATATAAACCATGAAAGAAGAGTCCAACTCAGGAAGGGTGGAGAGACTTAAGCCACAGGTGTGCAGCAGGTCTGAAGAGCAACTAGGTTGGAAAAGCAGGGGACAGGAGGCCCAGTGACAGAATCTCCAGAAAAAGAATAACTGAGAGAACACAAGATGATTGAGCTTGTGTAAAAGACTCCTCAGAGGAGTTTAAAGGTCTTCTGGAAAGTTTGGGAAGAATTGGTGAGAGTCAAGAAAATTAGCAAAATAAAAAAGAAAAAATTCTGATTCCAGGTGAATAAAGTCCTACAACAAAGGAAATATCATTGTAATATACATCTTTGCTCAGTTGGAAATAATACATAATCATAACTAGGTAAATGATTTACATTGATTTGACCCCCAAAAGTGTGATATACCTGTTCTGAGAGGATGGAGGGAAAGGGGGAGGGGCAGGTGATGTAAGAGGGCGGAATCTCCATCTTCCATAGTAGGAATCAATAGATAACTAAAATCAATAAATCAGGAACAGCGATAAACACAAGCAACAGGATATTACACAGTGATTCTGCCTGCCTGTTTTAGCCAAAACAAGTAGGAACCAACCATCCCACATTCCAAAACCAGACGACCAGCCCAGCCCTCACTCACAGAGAGTGGAAACTAAAGAGGTCAGGAAGTTGGGTATTAGAGATGCTTCTGGAAAGAGATGTCAAGTGTACTGTGAACCCCTCTCCCCAACTATCGAGAAGGGCAGGGTGCACTCTTTCCCCTAATCTGACTATCCCTTGAGGTGTAGGCTGACCATGAATTCAGGCCTGGACAAGACTGAGGCAGACACTGACTGCTGAGCCCAGGAGGCCATGTTGGGAGTGGTCTGCATTCCAAGCGTTTGTGAGAGCAAAAGTCTGTGAGTGTTTTCCTGGTCCAGATGGGGCCAGGAGGGAAAAGAGAAGATGGCTGGAGTCATCTTGAAGGGACTTTGCCCAAGACAGCTGTCTACTGGTGCAATATGCCCGGGAAGGAGCCTGTGGGAAGGAGCCTATATGGAACACACTGCAGAAAACATTTGCCTGTGTCAAGGCAACTGCCAGGAGACGTCCCCAGTGGCTGAGGAGATGTCTACAGAAGCCACAAACACCCCTAAGGAATCATAGTCCATGGGTGGTGCCTGTGGCTCAAAAGGGTAGGGCACTGGTCCCATATGCCGGAGGTGGCAGGTTCAAACCCAGCCCTGGCCAAAAATAGCAAAAAAAAAAAAAAAAAAAGAATTATAGTCCAGACTTTTTACTAGTACACAAGCTCTGGGCTTTTGTTTCTTAATTTTTCCTTTTTGGTAAATATTGATATATTTTCAAATTTACAGAAACTTGTCAATAATACAAAGAACTCCAATTGTTTACATTTTACCCCGGCTGCTCTTCCATGTTCATTAGCTCACTTGCACACTTTCTCCTTTTGTGTATATGCATATTTCTGAACCATCTGAGAGAAAATCATTTTTATATCCCTTCATTGCTAAGGGCTTCTGTGTGTATTACCCCCTAAAAGGACCTTCCCTAGGTGGAAGACAGGTAACCCTTCCCCTTACCTCGTCCCCGCTCCCTTTGGGTGTGGGTAGGCTCTGTAAACACAGACAGGTGGCTCCTGCCATCATGTTCACTTGCATGGCAAAGGCATGTCAGCCAGCAGAACTAACCCATTCACAGGAGCCCTTTAAAAGCAGAGAGTGTTCTTAGGCTGGCAGGAGACAGGGAGGTCAGAGCTTCAAAGCACACTATGATTATACACACTGCTGTCACCTGAGGGTGGAGGCAGCTCCAGGGGAAGGATACAAAAGCAGCCTCTGGGGGCTGATAGTATTCCAGGATTCCCTGCTCCACAGGCAACAGAGAACAGAGACCTCTGCTATATAAACACAAGTGGGTTCTGCCAGAAATAGCAAAAGCCACTGATTACTTCTAGACCAAGTAAAAAAAAAACCATAAGAAAAACCTAGAGGATTCCTACAACACCCGTATAAGCAGGTCATGGTGTTTCAAGATAAAATACAAGAAACATTGAGAAACAAATGAGAGATTTTTTTTTTTTTTTTGAGACAGAGACTTATTTTCACCCTGGAGAGAATGCCTTGGTGTCATTGTAGCTCACAGCAACCTCAAACTCTTGGGTTCAAGAGATTTTCTTGCCTCAGCCTCCTGAGTAGCTGGGACTATAGGCACAACACCCACCCAACACTCACCACAACACCCAGCTAGTTTTTCTATTTTTAGTAGAGATGAGATCTCACTCTTGCTCAGGCTGGTCTCCAACTCCTCAGCTCAAGCAATTCACCTGCCTTAGCTTCCCAGACTGCTGGGATTACAGGTGTGAGTCACCATGATTTTAAAAAATGGCTTTTCTTAACCATGAAAATTATGACAGAGGTTTTCTTTTCTTAAAAATTGAGTTTGCGGGGGATGCTGTGGCTCAGTGAGTCAGGCGCTGGCCCCATATACCCAGGGTGGTGGGTTCAAACTCAGCCCCGGCCAAACTGCAACAAAAAAATAGCCGGGTGTTGTGGTGGGCACCTGTAGTCCCAGCTACTCGGGAGGCTGAGACAAGAGAATCGCCTAAGCGCAGAGGTTGCTGTGAGCTGTGACTCCACTGCACTCTACCAAGGGTGACAAAGTGAGACTCTGTCTCTAAAAAAAAAAAAAAAAATTGAGTTTGCTGGCTCGGTGCTTGTGGCTCAAGTGGCTAAGGCGCCAGACACATATACCTAAGGTGGCAGGCTCAAATCCAGCCCGGGCCCCCCAAACAACAATGATGGCTGCAACCAAAAAATAGCTGGGCGTTGTGGCGGGCGCCTGTGGTCCCAGCTACTTGGGAGGCGGAGGCAGGAGACTCGCTTAA